ATGGATAAATTGTGTTTTTTAGTTAATCCACATCCCACTGCCCCCTACATCCTCTCAAACAGCCACAAACAATGAACAGCTATGGTGTTGACAACACATCACTCCGGAAAAGGATTTGACCCTGATTTTCTAAACTTTGGTACATTTTCACACAGAATTAGACCAGTAATAGGTTGGAGTTGCAATATCAAAGAAGAAAACCCCTTTCGTGATCTTCTGTAGATCTCCTTCAACTGCTGGATAATCCTGATTCACTCTATTTACTGAGTATGGTTGGACATCAAAATATAAAATAATAATACACCAATCAGTTGAAATAATAGATATAGTTAATATTATCTACATGCTTCTGCGGCTTGAGCATTTTTTTTATTGAAAATGGATGTAAATACTGGGCTGGTTTTATGATTTTTACTTAAGTTTTGGAGAAGATTCTGCACCATCATGTGGCAACTCGTAGCTACGGCCAAATTAACACTTGGCCTCTCTCTGCTGATCACAACCACACAGAAGCATATATCGCATAAATGTAACGGAATACACTTTTTGGAAAGAACAAGGGACATTGCTGCTTTTAATTCCTACTCACTGACAATAAGAATCTAATTTATTATTCTTCATTTTATATACACATACTGTTAAAAGACCTTAACACGTTTACTTGTGAAAGGAAGCGATTTTTCATGCCATGATCCGGCTGGTTACTTTTTGTCGGCCTCGACATTAATGCTGTTCAGAGGTGATTTAGGAGCAGCGCTCTAGTCTCACAGATCCATCCAGCCTCTGTGTCGCAGGTCTGAGCCTGAAGCTGCCATGATGTATACCGGCTTTGGATTCTAGCACAGTCTCCATTCCAGTAATATGGCTTCGGGAAACTAGAATGGAAAGAAAGAGACCGAGTGATATAACAGTGTTTTTAAAAACTTTTGCTAACAAGGCAGCAGCAACTCACCGGTTACATAGATTTTCTGTTAACGTTTTTCTTAATCCAGGAAGAATTTAATGAAAGGGGAAATAGTTATTATCAGTTCTTGTTATTTATATTCTGTCTTAAAAGTTGTTGAAAATATCTTAAAAAGTACAGACTATATATAACCCTTTGGGCAGTAAAATAATCATTGGGGACTGACGGTGCAAACCAGGGCTCTTCAATTCTGGACCTCGACTCCTCATGTTCCGGCCGAGCTGTTTAGCGCCCGGACTGAGGACCAGCTCTCCGGCCAGCGCCATTGTACGCTGCACCAGCACTTTGGTCGTGGGAACGTCAGCGCCGCGTTTCTATTATATTCTGCTTGTTCTGGTCTCTGATTTATTTGGGTCGGCTAAGAAAGGTTGTATATTGTTTGCAGTAATTGACCTTTTTTAATCGCCATATAATTTTACACTGAACCCACGATCCGTCGCCTTTAGTTTGATGCATATGCTTTGTGTTGTGGGATAGGGAACCTCAAGTAGCGTGTAAAGCACGGACGTGCGCAAGGTTAAAGTTTTCCTGGGTCCTTTTCTTACGTCTTCAAAAAAATGGCTTTTTTTACTTCATATCTTAGTTAATATGTACAAATGGCTTATTTTCTTTGCACTGTTTTAGTTCGATAATGTGTAATAGGTTGCAGTGATGCTAATTTGCGATACATGCCTATATATATGTTAGCGTATCATTTATTTGTAATTCCGTTGATTAACGTTAGCACTTATCGGCCAGCTTGTTGTAACTATGCTTTGCTAGGTAAGAGATCTCCCAAGTCTTTTCTGTGTTTGGTTTATTACAGTTTCACTCATAGATTTTCTCCTGTCGCATACGTAGACTGTTTATTACAATATACACTACAGGTGGTGCAAAGTGACATTAAAACAATATCTAAAGATGGTTGGCGCAAATCCAGTAATTCCGTTGATGATTAACGTTAGCACTTATTGGCCAACTTGTTGTAACCATGCTCTGCTAGGTAAGAGATCTCCCAAGTCTTTTCTGTGTTTGGTTTAGTACAGTTTCACTCATAGATTTTCTCCTGTCGCAATCGGAGAAAACACGTAGCGGGAACATTACACTGTTTATTACAGTATACACTACAGGTGGTGCAAAGTGACATTAAAACAATATCTAAAGATGGTTGGCTCAAACCCAGTATGGTTGAAATACCGGTAAACTGCGGCTCTCTGTGGATGAAAAAATATGTGCTCTGTGGGTGAGGGCGAACAAAAGAGATCAGGGGCCAACTTTAAAAATTCTTCATGGGAACATCTACATATGTAGTCAGTACTTTGCCCCAGAGGATGTGTATACATCATCCAGCCAGCTTCTCAGCTTTACCTTTTTTACTCGATTAGCGTTGAACTTTGTTGTATTCCAATGGTCCTGAGCGGCGCTCGGGTAACCTGGAAATAAAGATAACCTGCCTCTAGTCAGGACGGAAATTACCTGAC